TAACAACAATAAAAACAATAACAGATCAATACAATAAAGTAATAATACCATTAATTTAACATCACGTTTGAAATTCTTTAACTCTTTAATTTAATGTTATTTTGAGTTTACAGTCTTATATTACTTTATGATGTAGCTATTATTATTATTTTAAATAAAATATAAATATATTATAATTTTGTTAAATCAACTTGTATCACTGATTTTATATTTTTAAATCAAAATTAAATGTGTTAAATCTTCCACTTTCAATAGAAGCCGTTTGTTTGAATAAAACCGTTTAAAACATACTTTTTTAAACTAGTAATTTCAATTAAAAATAATAAATAATGGACTTTTATTTAGCAGTGGGTGACCCAATCTGTGTTTTTTTGTTTGGTTTTGTGTATTTGTTGTTGTTTTCTCTTTTTATTATTATTTATTATAAGTTTATTATTAGTATTCCTTATTTGATTTCATTTTATTTTATGTTTTACTTGTTATATATTATATATATTGTTCGGAAAGTCACCTCTTGACTTTGTTATGTTACTGAAAAATCAATAAACAAATGTTAAAATAATAATAATAATAATAAATAATATATATAAATAGTATCTTGTATCTTTATGTACCAGTAATATTAAGATGTTTGCTGTGTGAAAATAAAAGAGTCAGTTGTGGTTTTCCTTATAAAATATCTTTATTTCAGCGCAGTGCTTCCACAATTCATTTGGTTCGTCTTTATTATTCTTACTCTATGTAGCTTTAACAACTATTTACACAAAGCAGGGACGTGATTGGCTGCACACATACTGAAAAGGCAAGATCTTGTTTATAGAAAAACAAACTACCTGCTGACCTTTGACCCCTACTGCTTCTAAAGCAGGAAGTGAAGCTGTCTGAAAGTGAGAAATTAAACAAATTCAAATGTATATTTATGAACTTTAAGATAATTAGTTTTCCTGTTTCTACCTGAGCCATGGTTTATATTTGTATCACGCAGACAGACTGGTGCTGTGACACTCCAGAAGAACCGATGTGGTGTTCGTTATTAAATATATAATACATTATAATTACAAAGTTTTACAAGATGAATATTTACTAGAAACATAGCTAACATCCTCTCTCTCTCTCTCTCTCTCCCTCTCTCTTTCTCAGTTGTCCTGAAGCTCGGTCGTCCTCTTGTGCTGGCGCAGCAGCAATCTCAAGACATTTATGCAGAAAATTGAACAAAATTCAAATGTAGTTCTTCACATTCAGATTCAGTTCTCTACAGCCGGCGACTGAAGACAAGTTCATTATCATGTGAATGTTAAAGAGACTTTAAAGAGGTCATAATATGAATCTTTGAATTAAAAATCTAATGAATTAAAGGAGAAAAATTTGAAACAATATTTAAATTTTGGAAACTGTAACATCCGATTCAACGTCAGAACTGCTGCTCTCCGTCCACCTCTAAAATCCAACGACCCGAGTCCTCTTCATGTCTCCCTACTTCTTCTTCTTATTCACCCATCTGGGTCTCGGGCGTCGGAGGGGGCGGCACGAGCTTCTTCTCCAGCCGGGCGACTCGGTGTTTGAGTTTGCTGTGAGTGGCATCGTGCTCGGCCAGCAGCCGGGCGTAACGCGTCTGCAGGACGTCCAGCATGCTCGTCATCCGTTCCACCTTCTCCTCGATCTCTTTGGGGTCGGGGCCCTGTGCCGCCACCTAGAGGACGACAGCAGTTGTTACTTTTAGCTCAGCCTCTTTCACTCTTCTACGCCAACGTGGTTCCGGTTCCAGACCTAATTTTGAACCATTTGGACCAAAAAATAAGTTGGTTCCCGACTGGAAACTTAAGAAAGCAGCTTTTTCTTGACCTGAAACTGTAACAACATCCGTGTTTCTTATTCTATTGGTTGGAAACAGAGGATGGAGAACAACAAAAGGCCCAAAACTGTTTACCACAATGATTCTGCTCAAAACTGGTGGAAATATTTGCTAGGTTCCCAGATTTGCTGACTAATGTCCCCAGATCTCGCTCCCCTGAGGACAATCACTATGTGTGAACTCTTCTATCAGAGCGCTCACTAATGCATCAAAGATATCCCAGCAGGATAAATGTCTCTGTAATGTAAATTCAATGAGCGACAGCCAATGAGAGCAGTCCCTCTCCAGCACCAAACAGGAAGCAGAGAACCAGATAGTTTCTGTGGTTCGAATACCGTCTGATGGTGAATTAGCGGCGTTATGAGTCAGCGTTTAATTCAGGATGTATGTGATCCACTAACCAGCTCTGATTAGTGTTACAGTCTTCTAACAACAGGGGCTGAGCCAGTTGAGTTAGTACAAAATTAATTTTTATGGTGAATATTGATCAGTATACACTGTTCCTGTATGGATGATATTGATCAGTATACAGTGTAGTCTTTAATGGATTGATATTGACAGTATAACACTGTATCTTTATTGAATGATATTGATCATTATAACACTGTATCTTATATGGATGATATTGATCAGTATACCTGTTATCCTTTATGGATGTATATTGATCCAGCATAGCAACTGTATCCTTAATGGATTGATTATTTTGATCAGTATACACCATGTATTCTTATGGAATGATATTGATCAGCAATACACTGTAATCTTCCTATGGATGAGTATTGACAGTATTACACTGTATCTTTATGGATGATATTGAATCCTGTATTGAACATCTCAGACCTGTGGACATATGGCGCGCCTTTAGCTCGTGTTCTAGAGTTACGTGTTGCTTACGAACACGTTAGGAATTGTTAAAAAAATGTGATATTTCTTAAAAAGGGAGTTTGGTGCAGGGAGCCTTTTTAGTTAGATTTAACTGCCTAATATGGATCATTGTTGACTGGTTGAGTTTCTCCCACCCTCAGAAACACCCTAAGCTAACTGATATTAGGTTTAGTTTGATTAATGCTTTAATAATGTTTGGGGAGTATTGATCACTGATGGGTGTCCTGAATCAGGAATAATTGATTGCTGACGAACTTAGTCACAAACAGAGATCTGCACCCCTCTTGATAGGATATAGTGTTTTTTGTAGCCTCCCAGTCCAGCCCCAGTCCGTCCTTCACTCAGATCTGCCCTTCCCTTCCCTCCTCCAAGGCAGACGCTTTTGGCATCGGATAAATTCCCGTTTAGCCAGGCCTCCATCCAGGATCGTCTTTGGAAAGCAAAGAGGTCGGAGTAGCCCGATGCTCCCTGATGTGGCTGTCCTCCCTCTGATTTCCTGCCTTACTTGCCTGTTGAGGAACAAGATGGATGGTTGGGATGTCTTTTATTCACACTGTACTGTTCATCAGCCTCTCTGCCCTTCCATCGGATCAAGTCTGTTAATGTGAGACTACTGTTGGCGAGGCAGCTGTGATGCAGAGGTCTGTGTTCTGAGGGGTAAAAATTCCTGATTTTGTGCAAACAAGCAATTCAAGTGTTTAATGAATAATGATTTTAAATGCTAAACGTGGTTAGCAAAAACCAAGCTGCCAACCCTCCAACAACCAAGACTAATTGGACAAAGTGTTTGTGTCTAGCCCTGATGATCTGTCTCTGAAGTCTGAATTATTCAACTTCTTTTCAGATGTTGATTATGATGTTGTAGACCGATTGGGACTCTTTGTTTTGTTAATATCTTTCAAACAATCCACAGAACTAAAGAAAGCCGGTCTGTCTACATCAGATTACCCACAACCGATGTCAGTCCCCTACCTTTGATAGCCAGGATGCTGATCTCGCCAAAGTAGGCTTCCACTCGCTCCAGGGACGACAAACTGCTTGATTCCCCGTCATCCGGCAACTAACAGCGAGCTTCCCCCTCCCTTGGAATGATGTACATCTCTCGACCAAATGTCCACCTCTTTCTTGCAGATTAGTCTCCCTGGACTGTAGAACCTGAGGCCTGCAGCTCAAGCCACAAGGCTCCCCACCAAAAGACCGGGCCCGCAGTCGCGAAGATACGAAACCTGCACGGCGACAACAAGAGGAGCAAAGCCTGGTGTTTCTTCATTCATTGAAACTGTCATTTTTTTGTCTGTTAATTGTGTGCAGACCCCTTCCTTTAGGGTGTCCAGGTGGAGTTGATGGCGATCTCGAGCTCCTCAGCCTTGTCAGTGCCAGGTACTTACAACACCTCCCCTTATCAATCCCCACAGCTTCTCTTATTGGTCGCACAGGAAGTCAAACCCCAGCCTTGATGATCGCTTCTTCCAGGTCCCTTGGTTTCTGGAGGGGAGACAGAAAGGCCTGGGGATGGACCCCTAGTTGATCTTAGTGATGTTTCTACGCTGCAAAACAATTTCTTTTTTACCTG